GGCTTTCCGCCCGGCCCCCCCTCCCCATTGTCTAAGCGGCAAGCGTGGCCGCTCAGGGGGTGCACCGGCACTCTCAGAGGGTACACCCCCGTGAACCCCCTACATGTCACCACTGGTCTGTTCACTTCTGTTTCAATTTAATCTGTGAAGTTTAGACTAACCTGCAAAGACTTTATTGATTCAGCCTCAGGCTTTTTGACTGTCTATACCTAGCCAAAGAGAAGAATGAGACTTTAGGACATAGGAGGCTTAGAGCTCAACATCCTCAGGAATCTGATAATGTTACAGCACAAGCTACCATGAAATCTATCCTTCAGGGGCTATCCACAAACATTGGCAAGAAATGGTGGCAGGATTTTGCTGCAGAGAAAGCCACCGGCCAGGTTACTTGAGGAGGATGAGAAATACTGTGGTCAGGGAGAAGAAGCACCAAATCAGTAGAAAGCTCATTCTGCTGCACTAAGACCCCCTCAGGGGAGTTAGTCCAACCACAAGGCAGATGGCATCAAAACTTGGTAACCTTGTAGGTCTAACCTCCACAAAGACCACCTTCAGGTACCATGTATCTGCACAGCTACCTACATCTCCACCCCTGGAAATTCCAGTTTTAAATTATTTTTCTGATTTTAAATGCCCATAGAAACAGATCACATAGGTCTATTGATTTACTGGTTCCTGGGTCTACACGTCCCACTAGCTTCCTGCAACTAACATTAATGGAGCCCAGTAGAAATTAATGGGGACCATTGGAAAGCACAAGATTACCTGCAGGATTTCACTGGGGGGTGCTGGGATTTCTACCAGGGCAAAAGGAGATCATTGATCATCACAAGTGACACAGAACCTATGCTAAGGTCTGAAATGTCTAGTGAAAATTAGGGGGTATGAACTAAACATGAACTGAAAGCACAGTAAAGGCATGTGCAAGCCTCTGCTTTGTAAATCACAGGCACTGTATTTCATGAGCCCCAGGGTCAAGCCCATCATTGCGGTAACTTAACTGGAGTTATACTGGGAAAGACCCTGTGCCTCCATCTGTCTGATCTAAGACACAATGTCCCACTCTCCCTGCTGTCCTGGTTTCCCTTCTGTTATGAAAGAATGCACAGATCTCATTCATACTTTGGCAGGGAGAGGGTTACCACTCTCCCCAGGAAAGGACACAGCTGCCTGTAGTTGGTGCAAGGGATCATCTGGGCGAGGGGGGGAACACAGCTGTGCTGAGTCAGGCATTGCTCCAGCACTCTATAAAAGGGCTGTTCATTGAGATGATGGGGCTGATACTAGGAGCTTGAATTTGGGGGTGGGGGAAAAAAGGATAGGACAATGCTATCTCAAAAAGGTCTCCTGCCACAAAGTTCATTGAGAGGCCAGGCTGACCCCTTTGTTTAAAGCCCAGCCTCTGGGAAGTTCTTTTGCTGTTTGTTTGACCAGGTTCTGGATATGCCAGAGACCTGGAGTTCTGCAGCCTGGGAATCTGGTCCCTAATTGACCTGTCCCACTACACAGAGACGTGCCACTGAAATATCTAACAAAATGTGCCCTCTGACTAAGGGCTGATTTAAGTATGGAAGTGGTATGGGCATGGGTCTGGGTGTAAATCCAGAGCACTACACTTGCAGTGGCAGGACTCCTTGTGTGGAGGGCCTAAAAAGTGGACATAAAAGGCTTTCCATATAGACATCTTACTGCTGCATACATGCTAGGTTCCCTTGGTTGGGAGTTTTCTGTAGTGGATACTGGAAAGGCTTTAAGTTTAATATAATTTAGTCCAGGCACATTGTTAAGAAGAGGTGTTTTTATCTCTGCAAGCCAGCTGAATCTACACAGTTCAAATGTTGGTGTGTGAAGGCAGTCACATCTTTGTGAATCCCACTGTTGACCACCTTATCTGGGACCCCCAGCCCCTGAATTCCCCGTGCCAACTTGCTTCCCTGGAATATATAAGATGGCTATATGGAAAGCCTATACGTCTACTTGTTAACCTGATGTTGCAGAGAGTGACTAGTGCCTGACTATGCATATCGATATGGGGGTGCAGGCTATACAAATTACAGCCTCCAGCATATGCATTCCTTAAGGCCATATTACATGCTAGGAATGATCACTTGTCCTTACCGATGAGGCTGCAACACGCTCCATTTTTTTCACTCTGGCTTCCTCACTCCTAGCAAGTTGCAAAAACAATTTGCCCAGCCAAACACAATGAGGTATCCCAGATATACACAGTCACCTAGAAAGGTAACCTCCAAACAGCATTGCCCTTACCCAGCCCCACACTGCTCCTGCTACCACTGCAGAGAATGGCTCTAACTGACCCTAAGCTTGCCTATAGAAGAGAAATTTCTCATTATCACAAACTCCCCCATGTGGGCACTTACTCTGAAATAAAAGTTAGTTTTTCAGCTAATTTCAACAGATTCCAAGAAGACCAAACCTGACCTAGGAAAAGGCCCTCCACACAAGGAGTCCTACCACTGTGAGTGTAGTGCTCTGGATATATGTAATGGTAGACCCAAGAAGCCACATACAGGGACAAGGGCCTTTTTGTGTTCAGCTTGCACCCAAACATAACAAAAAAGACCATTCCTACCTGAAAAAACCTTCCAATCCACCCAGCCTCTATTCTTCTAAGCTGAAAACCAGCACTGAATGATTTGCTGGTAGATGATTCTCAAACATTATTTGTACAGTGCCAACACTGTGAATGACTGGCTGTCCTCAAGCCTTTGCTGTCCCAGCAATGCCTGAGTAATGGGGATTAGTCTGAAGCTAGGATAACTAAGAAGAAAAACAATCCCCTTAAAGGTTGAGGGATCTAATAAGACTGAAAATGATCTTATGCTCTTATAGCAACTTTTAACCTGGAGAGTCCTGTACCATTTTCCAAAGCAGGAAGCATCAAAAGAGTAACAAGATTTAAAATTTGCCACCATTTCATCATTGAAAGATGGTGGCTATTTCATAATGCACAACACTTCACAGCAGTTTGGGACAGGAAGTGTGGAAGACTGTGTCCATTTTGTGGGAAAAACAGAAACAGGTGGATTTATGTTTTAGTTGGGCAGAATGTAATTGTCTGAGCTGGACTGTTGCCAGGATGCTGAGTTAACCTTCACCCGCATCTTTTCTAAAGATATAGCCTATAACTTTCTCCATTGGATCTCATTAGACACAAAGGTATTTAGCTGAATCAGCTGGGTTACTAGCAGGCTAATTCTGGGCTTTTTCTGTATTGTGTTCGAATATAACAACCTCCTTGGCAAGTCACATACAATTAAACTGTTCTTTCCTACTCTCCCCACAGGGCCTGCTGCAGGTCATTCTCTGGATGATCGATCACCTTTACTACTCTTTATAAAATCAGAGTAACACTGTGGAAATCACCATCCCTCTCTGCTAAACCATAGGCAAACTCTACAGATAGTGCCTCCACCCCTACTGCATGAGTACAACTCTTCTCCAGGCTTTCTGGACCTTAGAGGGCCTGATGACTGATGACCTCAGTGCGGGATTTCTATTTGCTGGACAACGAAGGACTTCAAGCTTAGTTGTCAAGTTCAGACATGTCCTTAAGAATAGATACCAGTATCTCAGCAAGCTAGCTGTTGCAGTGTGAAGGCAGCCACGTCTTTGTGAATCCCACCACTGACCCCCCTTTCTGGGATTCACACCTCCCTGAGCTCCCCGTGACAGTTCACTAGCCAAGAGGCAGGGATTAGAGCAGAACCCAAAACAAGGTATGTTGGAGGGGCATTTTAGTATCATGGACTTACACTCAGAGCACAATGGCTATCTTGGGCAACCCTGTGTCACTTGTTTGCAGTAAAAAGGTTCTGTCTTGCAACCTAGTCAGTATATGCCGGTGACCAGATTCCCTAATCAAACATCAAAACTGGATTTCTTATGCAGCTTTAGAGCAGCCTGGAGAGAGAGCTAACCAGAGAGAAAGCACAAAGCTGGGATCCCAGAGGGCAGACAGTTGTTTTTTCTGCAGCATATTTAGCTGAGTGATTAACCCAATATCTAGAGAGGATTTGGGGTAACTGAGAGAGGAATCTGAGATGAATCCTTGCAGACTCCAGACTCAAACCCACAGGATAATGTTGCATATCCTAATAAAACGCATGCGATCTCCTGGAGGGAGAGGACTGTGTCCGTGTATCCCAGTGGGAAGATAAACTGAGACTAGTCCCAGTTAAAAGGGCAGAGCCTTCCTTTCCTGCCTCATACATTTAAACTCACACCAGTTTATGCCATGTAAATGGTTCAGTCTAACTTCGGGCTGTAAAGAGAAGGACTACCTGTCCCTGGTCTGGGGGCTGCCACTGGAAATATGCAAAGTGAAGCCTTTTTTAATAAGATACCTGCCCCCACTATGCACTGTACACCTTCATCCTGTGTGTGGGTTATCACTAAAAATCCAACTACAGTCCGAGTGTCTGACTGGCACAATGCACTGAAACTCTTCCGGACGCCTGTTCTACTTCACAATTAAGGGAGATTCTGTCTATCGCTGTACATCTGTGAAGCCAGGAAAAGCAGCCCACTTAGAAGCCTTCACAAGTAAAGAAACAGCTGATCTCGGCACTTTCCTTCCTGTTTGGGTTTTGAGACTGGTGAAACCCATTTGCTCTCAGCTCTGGGTCCTTGTTCCTTTGCTGCAGCCAAAGGATTAGGAGGGAAATTCTGTTGTCTCTAGGGTTATTATACTGTGCCCCTCAATGAGGTACCTGCGCTGAGCAGGTTCAGTCAGTGCCCAGAGGAGCATTAATCAGACGGCAGTACTTGAGAGAAGGAGGAAAAGCCACTTACATACTGGTCCTTCTCTCCTGGCCCCTTCAACTCCCCATGCTCTGTAGGTGAGTAAACCCCAATGAAAAGCCTGTTGCCTATAGACTGGATCTCCGGAAGGCTCTAGCTAACCCAACTAACTTCAACAGAGGAAAGCGAACCCCAAAGCAGACTTACCATTGCCCATAGCCAGCACCTGCATGTTCTCAAACTCCAGAGTGGTGTAAGCTGGGTCTAACGCTGCGCTATAATCTGCCATCTCCATGTCTATCAGGGCTTTGGAAAGACGCATTATCATTAGCAAACACGGACCAGATTGCAGCGATCCCCTTGTTGGAGGTTATTGGCCCCTCAGCCTCTTGCTGCCTTCGCTGCCGCCCCTATCTGTTGTCTTTTATTTCAAATATTTCTCTGGAGGGATTTGCTGAGCTTCAAGGCCTATACTCCCCAGAGGGGTGGAGGCAGGAGGCAGGGGGGTTAATCTTTAATCATCTCACCCAGTGCTGAATGCTGGAAGCTGGGCTTTTTTTTTTTTTTTTGGTGGGGCAGCAGTGATTGTCATTGCCTGTTTGTTTATTATTGCATTTCTTTTGCTGATTCCAGCTCCTGGGCACACGCCGCAGTGACAGCGGTTAGGGAGAAGCACATTCTCAATGAGTGGAGTATATTTCCTGAGCTATTGACCTTGATGCTTGGGCGTTTTCATTGGTCTTAATTGTACCCAGTGTGAAACCTTGGAAAAACCCTGTCTGCTCCCCAGTTCCCTAATTTCCCCCTTTCCCCAATATCCTCTCCCTCCCCCCCACCATTGGCCTCTGATTCTTGTCTTCTTTCTTTCCCCACACCCTTTCCTCTCTCTCCCTCTTTGCAGAGGTCAATATAATCAGAATTGCCGTTTACACCTTGTCGTGTCTGGTAACAATGCGAATTTTTCATTTTACTTCCCTATAAAGTGAGTTTTACAGGGCCTGAGCTTACTGTAAACACCTCCCACTCTACAGTCTGCACCAACAACCTTCAGGGGAAGGTTTGTGAAAGAGCCAGGCATGCAAATGTACAAGGGGAATGTGAGTACAAGTGTGTCTGCCCAGGCTGCCTGGTGAATGGTGGATCAGGTACACGATTACACTGCCATTACTTGTGGGCCTCAACTTTTTGAAAATCTTACCCTGAAAACAAGCTCGATTCACACTGGATTTGATTTCCATGGGTCACTCTGAGAAACCTGGCTCTTGGGTTCTGATTTTGGGAAAAGAAAACTCCAGGCATGTTGTAATGCAACACAGTGCTATTGTACGGACTATCTTGCCTACAAACTGAACCACCCAAGACATTCTGTAGAGCAGGGGTGTCAACCAGGTGTCAACCATATGGCCCACAGGCTGGACCCAACCCATGGAACTGTTTTATCTGGTCTGCTGGAAATAGTGGGGCATGGCCTGCCACAGAATTAGGGGTTCCTGGATGCAGCAGGGGGGCGAGTTAGGGCTGTGTAGATGTAGCCCTTGCTCACCCTGTGCCCACAGGACTCATGTCACCATCTGGTCCCAGACCCGCTGTAGCTGCTGCTGCCACTGTGGAGTCTGGGAGGAGCCCCCATGATCTAGATCCACCCTGAGGCCCAGGGTAAGTTTGACACCCCTGCTCTGGAATTAGATTCTATTCCAAAACGCACTCAAAATCATGAGGATCCTTTTGTTGACTTTGATGGACTTAGGGTCAGGTAATATAGGACAGTGGGCACGTCTACACAAGATGCTTATTGTGCATTAGCCTAACAACATTGTGCAGTAATGTGGTGGTGAAAAACAGTGCTAATAGTCTACTGTGCAGTGTTATTAGGCCAATGCGCAGTGTCACAAATTAATCATGCGCTGGTGCTACTGTGTGGTAACTCTAATTACTGTGCATTCAGTTAGTACTTTATTAAACAAGTACTAACTAAATGTGCAATATCTGAGGCATATTAATGAACATGTAGTTGCACCCAGTAAGAACATATTTTACACATGACAGAAAATAGTGCACTGCTGTGGTTTAGACTGGGATGGCTTTGGATGATTCACTGTAATTTCCATTGCATAGCAGTGCAAGATCAACAAGTGGAAATCACTTTATCACTTAACAGCATCAGCTGAATTGCATAGAACAGCTAGTAATTAAGGATTAGTATCAGCTTCTTCTGTAATGAACACATCCCAATTTATTTCACAATCAATGCAGGCTGATTTAGTTGACATGCTGCATAGTTAATAGCCTCAAATTAGTTTTAACTATGCTTCACAGTCAAGCAGAGCAGACTGGGCCATGCCAAATCAAAAGGCCATTACAGGTTTAAGGATCCCTGCTCTCAGAGCTCAGCACCGAAATTCTAGATCCACAGACCCCCCAAAAGTACATGCCACTGGGGCTGTGGCATTTGTTGTATTAACAGAAGATCATCAGTATGTCTACAGCATAGTGAATGTTTCACAAAGCAAAGCAAGAAGATTACAGCGTGTTTAAAAGACACATATGCTGCCTATCTGCTAGGAGGTTGGGTCTGTACATTTTGTTGGCTGTGCTGCTTCAGCTTTGTTCCTGGAGATACAGAAAAGCCCCGCGTTTCTTTTTTGGGACTAGTGTGGCAGCAAGATCTGACCCATGATCCCTAATGACAGGAAGGAACCCCTTTGAACCCAGATGTTTGGTTGTTCTTTCCCTCCGGCAAGGAGGATTCTGAGCTGAGAATTCATTTGTTTGAAACAATGTGCGTGAGAAGGAGGAGGGGAGTACAGCCCCTTAATGGCCTCATTCTTGAGACCTCCATTCCAAATCTGGTTTGGCCAGAATGATCCCTTTGATTAGATAAACGCTACAGACACAAAGTCAAATATGCGCAGGATTTGCCATAATGTCTAGTAAAATATCATAAAAACCTGGACCATTTTGCTCGGCAAGCCTTTGCTCAGATAGGCTGCTCTCTAAATAAGGCTGAAATACCTGCTCACTCCAATGAGGTCTGGAAGCTCTAGGTCAGGGGGGATTAAGGATGCTAGGAATAGAAAATGAAGAGATATGTGTGGAAGGGGAGTCGGGAAGTTTGAGGAGAATTAGGTGGCCCAGGATGTGAGGAATATCAATGGGACACAAGGCCTTTTACCTCTAAGTTGATGTGACTGCAGTTCCTCTATGTGGTGTCCTCGGTCCAGTGCCTGGTGCATAAGTGTCCCCATCAAAAATCCTGTTTCAGCAGGGAGGTCAAGGGCTGAATGGGGAAAGGAGAACAAAGACTATTCTCCTCTTTCACCCCGGAGATTATCTTGCCAGACAATATTGGAATGGAAAGGTTAATTTCCACACCAAAAAACAATGAAGCAGTTCCAACTATCCTATTTATTAGTGAAAACACTTGTTGCTTCACCCAGACTCTAGTATGAGAGGATTCTTCTCTCACTGGGAGGCTAATAAATCTAGCAGAAATTTAGAAGAGGCTCCAATGAAGAACCATGGGTAAAGTGATCCCTATAGCGTGACATATTTAAGTGACAAATCCTGGGCTAGGCACACTGACCAATGCTGGTGAATGAGGCGCCCGCACCAGCATAAATTAAAACATTTCTGAAGGGAGAGAATGGTTGAGAGACAACAACTATCCTTGATTTTAGATCATCTTGGCTCACTTAAAGATACTTCCCTTTCTGCACCAGCCAGAGACAAATTCTGAACAGCTCTTTGCTAAAAAGCCAGAGTCAATCCACTGATGTTAGGAGAGTCACCCCACACTTCAGCTGATCCAATGCCCTCTGAAACCAAAGGAAATATTCTTACTGACTTCAGGGGGTTTAAGATTTGGCCTAGTGACACTAATGCTGCTGAGAGGGGAATTTGGCGCAAGATTAGCAAGTAGTAGACATAAGCCACGGATGGGTTTTGGCCATGGAGTCTGGGAAGCGGGTGCTTTCACATTGTGTCTTGGTGCATGGCAGCTCCCTGCCTAGGGCCTTTCACTAAATCCAGTTGCTTCGGGAAACCCCATCCAAACACCTCACCAGCCTCACTCCCCAACCCTGCCACTACATCACTTCACCCCAACACTTCACATTACAGGAGCCAGTTGTAATAGGAAAATATTAGAACTCCAGGAACCAGTGTACTCTTTCATGGAACAATAATTTGATTTTATCAGATGAGCAGTAAATTCCCCCGTGTCCTTCCTCACATAAATATGACAAGAGACTAATTCTGCCTCATATACAGACCTTCTGACTGGCAGTTTCACCAAAAGTAAAGGCGATTCCCAGCGAATAAGATACATACCTCCTTAAATGAGGAACAGAATACAGGCTGTTTAATAAACACGTACAGGGAAGTATATCATCAGCCAGAACTCTTGACAGCTACTGATAGTGGAAGAGGGAGACACACACCTATTGACACATAATGGTTCTGCCTGCACTACCTACACAGACCCAGCTGAACCAGGGACTCAGTTGCCTACTACAATTGCCTCCTTACCTTGTTCAAACTTGTAACATGAATAAGGCAAGATCAGAACCTAGGTGGTTCCTATCCATGCTGCAGACTTCAATCAAGTTTTTACCTGGGTTGTATTCATAGTGTGCATGAGCCCAAAAGCTTGAAAAAAAGCTTATACTAGCAATCTTAGGTCATTACTTCTGTTTAAAAAAAAAACAAAACACCTCTAAAAGGCAAGGAAGAAGATCTAGAAAGAAAGGCACCTTAGTACTAGCCTCATGTCTTCACAATTATGTCTACACAACAATGAAAGGATTACTACAGCTGAGGTAGCCATACCTGAGCTCAGGTGCAGCTAGCAGTGTAGAATGTGCTATAAAATGCACCCAAAAAGATGGCTAAAAACTCAGGTGCTTAGCCACTGCTGAGCTCTAGGCTGCCACAGCAACACTCCCACTTGCCAAGCAAGCTAGTTCAAAGCTAGCTCAGGTATGCTAACACAATCTGCAGTCACATCTTGGCCGGCACATATCTTTGTAGAAGGGAAAATACAGCAAGCTATGCTATCAGAGAATCTATCATAGGTTGTCTCATCCCTGCTGTCCCCTTATGGTGTGAAACGCCCTTCTATATACAACTGATCAGCTCTTCAGTACCTCATCTGGCCAACAGCAATGTGAAAAGTGAGTTGAAAAATCATGTACCCAAATTGTGGTGTTTTCTTAATGCTGTTTATCATCATTAATGCAGAACTGGAAGAGCAGCAGTGGGACCCAGGAAACAAATCAGCAAAGGTGGAGGTTTGGAGTCTGGCTACTGACATAGCTGGTGACTTTGTGCGGGTGACGTTGCCTCTCTGCTTAGATTTATCATCTGGAGAATGGATAAGGCTGAAGTAATTGATGTTCATAAAGACTTTGAGATCATTAGCTGATTAAGGCATTCGCATGTTGAATTGCAGTGCATTTTTCTGATACAGTAATCACTGTCTAAACAGCTAAGAGACCAGTAGAAACTACTCTCTAGCCCTCTCTCACTCAGCACAGAAGTCATCTCTTTCCTTATCCAGAAAGCATGTATCCTGGAACAAATACAAATGATCTGAGGCAGAGGATGACATGGCAGAATCCTGTAAGTTGCAAAAGCACTACTTTAATGGTCCATTGTTTTTGAAAGTCAGGATCCCAGAAGATCAACTGTGATTCCTCAGGGATCAGAGAGAAATGCTCTGTCCAACAATCCTTGAAATGGATGTTCCACATTTGCCTGTTGAGTTCCAGAGTCTCCATGCAGAGCAGGATTAGCAGAGCAGGGAAAGCAAGAGTCAGAGTGGAGATAGTGAAGAGGAACTACAAGTGAGAGAGAGATGATGAATGGCAATCAGAAAAGGACTCAAGCAAGAGTTAGGGCCTGGGGTACTAGAGGACATTATACTGAGTGATGGGAAGGGTAGTTCTACAGCTGGAAGAGGAGAGACATAAATGTGTGCCCATGAAGTCATTCTGACTAGGACCGTGGGGCCTCCAGACCTGTCTGTTCAGAAGTCATTTACCCTGCTTGTACCTAAGATACAAGACCCATGTTAAATATTCCCAAGATCTTTGGCAAAGTCTTGCCAAAGCAGCACATGAGGCTGTAGTCTGAAGTTGTCATGTGGTGTGGCGTGAATACCATGAAGGACATGGCACCAAAAACACATGTTTGCAGCGACCAGCCTTCTTTTACCTTAGAGGCCCATTTTTCATTGGAGCTTCTGGTTTTGTACCTACAACAAATTTCAGGCACTAATAGTAATGGCACCTAGCTGGCACCTTCTGACATGCAGCAACGTGTCCTCTTCTTACCATTTGTAGCCATAATCATTGAGGCCACAGACATTTTGGCCTACGTTTTCAAGACCAGGGCGGGCAATTATTTCAGGTGGAGGGCCACTTACTGAGTTTTGGCAAGCCATTGAGGGCCGCATGACAGGCAGCCAGAGTCAGATAAATATTAATTTTCTAAATTTTTTAGGGGCCCCATGGACTGGATACAATGGCCTGGCAGGCCGCATCCATCCCACAGGCCACATTTTTTCCCACCCCTGCTCTAGGCTCTGTTCTGGGAATGGAGTGGCTTTATTGAGGCTGGTTGTAAAGCAAAGATGGGCTCAGACCCTAAACTCTGCATATGAAACCCCTCCAGACTTTGGAAAAGTTTTGAACGGGGTTCTGATTTCACAGCCAGGCTGTGTTTACTGTTCACTGAATGTACTGGCAAGCCTCTCTCTCGCTCTAATCTTTCCATCTCGTTCATTAAATCAGCTGAAGGGGAAGCATGAGCTGCTGAGTTACAAGACAAAGAACAAAAGTCCTGGGGGAATCACGCCAACATAGTCATCTCCATACACAGAAAGGTCCCTTCTGCTTTTTTTTCCCCTTTGAAATTTCAAATTCCAGTTTGTGGACAAAGTCCTGCCTATCTGAGAATATAGATCTCCGACCACTGACCAAACTCCATTCCAAGCAACTCCCTAGCTATGCTTTCTCCCTAGCTCAGTCTCCTCCATTTACTCCCTGGATTTGCTGAGATGACACCGAAGTGCTTTCACCACCGCAGCTGTGCACGTCAAAATGGATTTTTGCATTTTCTGTCTTAATCTAACAGCTTCCTTTCCAAGTCAGGGATGGGGAAGAAGATTCTGATCGTCTGTAATAAACCAGGTAGGATCCTTATCACCTGCATTTCCTGTGTGCAGCCCTTGTGGTCTGAAAACAAGAAAGGGAAACAAGGGCTTCCATTGTGCTTATACTAGCAATTTTAGGTCATCACTTTAATTAAGAAAAACAAGGACAATTTTATAGGGCACAAAAAGCAATTGCGAGAATTAGCTCTTGGAAGAAGAGACAATCTATATGGTTAACTGATAACTCCAACTAGCCTCTTCACTCTCATCCCTCCTGATTCCCCCGATTAAGCTGAACATGCTTGCATGCTAATCATTTCTTGGCCTGTTTATTTTGCATTAAAAAATTAACAGAGAATAGTTTACTGCATGACTTGCTCACACAAACCCTGCAAACTATCAGGCCTGAAACCCTTATGCAAGACTTGGGTGTCCAGCTCTGAATCTGGGCATCTAGAAAGATTTTCTTTTTTTTAAAGAATGTTTTTTTGCTAAAGTCAATATAAATTCTGCCCCCCTCCCCCACCTTCTGTCCTGAGTATATTTGCTTTGTGGCTGTTTCCAAACGGGAAAGATAAAGCCAAGGGCTGATGTTTTGTCAGACTTTTTGTAAACAGGGATATTTAGGCCACATTGTCAAATCCCACTTGCCTTTTGCCTGCATTTGTCCCATAAACAATTACAGAGCAGTCTTCCACGTGTTAATAAGCAGCTCTAAGGAATTTGGCAGGAGACAGTGAGAGCTGGACAGGGGTTCAGTTCTCTCCACCTGAAACCAGCACCAGGTTAAAATGGTGGGTTTGGTCCCTCAGCTCTTGTTTGATAGACACCAGGTGAGGAACTGCTTGAGGAACATCTCCAGGGAATAGCCTTGGTGGGTGGGTGAAGCCTCCCTGCTGCTGTAGGTTTCAGTAGAACTAATGAAGGGTCAGTTTTCCTTTTGATGCTTGCATGCAATTCCCACTAGGCCTGGGGGAGCATTTGCATGGGCATCCTGAATGGGATGAGCTGCCCCCTCCAGTACAGTCAGAAAGCTGCAGAACTTGTAAGGTGGCCAAAGCAAAGCTAAGAACCGGCACGGACTCGTGGTAACTGCAGTGTTTCCTTCCTTATTAGTCAGTCGGTTGTTTCCCCTCGTATTTAAGTTTCTGTAACTCTAGTCTCAGCACCTGGACTGATGATACCTGGAGACTCATTTGTCTGAGTTGAGGTGATTGTAGCATCATCTGCGATGCCGTATGAAATGTTAATGTAGCCAAGGTAGACTTGCTGCTAAGTCCCTTGGGGGCCCCTTGCACTGTGGCACACATGCCACACTTCTGTGTTTTGCAATGTGTGACCTGTTAACAGGAATAGGGGCTCAGCCGTGGCACAGTGGACTAGGCTTACTGCAAGATGCTGCAGTCAAAACCGGGCTAGTTCCCCTGTGTGGATGCAACAAGTTCTCTGACAAAGTCTAGACCCAGGAAATCATTGGGGCTCTCCCCGGCTATAAAAACTACTCAGCTACCCAGGATATGCTTGGAATGGTTGAGAGAGCAGAGGTTTCCAAAGCACTTAAACTTATGTGCAAGATCCATGCTTTGAAACAGAGAAAAGATTCTGATGAAGCTCCATCCAAGAACAGCCGACTGGAAGCTGAAAGGGCAGTCCCTGAGAGCTGGAGCTAATTTAAATGAGCCATAACAGCCAGCTGCTCCGGAGACTGACGGGAAAGAGAACTGCAAGCCCTTAGGCCATTTCAACAAGTGTTTCTGTTACAACAGTAGTTTCATCCCTGGACCAGAGAGGGAGTTATTCATGTGGATTAACAAAACCTCTAAACACACCCAAGCAAGTAATTTTTCATACTCTTGGGGAGGAGGGTTGGGTTTGATAACACCATAGAAACAAAGAGAAGCTAAGGCCTGGGTTTCCAGAATTACACATGTAAAAGGCCTGGTGAATTTGCACTCCTAATTGGCATGTACAGTCACTGAGACTGCAATGTGATTGTGATAACTGCAGCACAGGGATGCATTTTTATGTATACAATTGCATGTGTGCAGCTGGGAAGATATGGGCCAAAATGATTTATTAAAATCACAGGGTGAGTCACTGCCAGGAGTGGGGAGAACACCCATGAGTTCCATGTTGTTACCATTACTCAAACTTCTTCGATTTGCCCCACACTTCCAGTGTCCGTTTCAGATTTCATTTTAATCTGGGAAAATGTGTCCATTTTTGCTCCCCAAAGCACCCTATTTTGTGGATGTGTCAATTAGAAAAAACATTTTGTTTCCCAGAGAAAATTAGTCTGTTTTGGAGAAGAACAAAAGTGCACCACATGTGGCTGAGAAATTAACTGTTTATGGGTTGATGTACATTTTCAGCAGGTTTTCTGTTTGAAAATGATAGTTTCAGCCCATTCAGGAAAAAAGCAAAACCTGAAGGACAACAAAAGTTTGGTAACGAAATCATGAAAGTTCAGGCCCAGAGTTTCCAAAACAAAATCCCCACATCCACAATATCCACATCGTCTCCTCTTCTACTCACCCCCACCAGGCCCACCTGCATAGCTCTGGTTTGAGGGATTTTATTTACTGGGGCAGTAACACCCAATTTCTCAGCAGTAAATGTATGGGGCTAAGGGTCTTTTGCTGGGAGACTAATACAATCCCTTCTCATTTGGAATCCATAATGGAAAGATCCTTAACCAATATATAGGTTGCCAGATACAGTGAGCACCCTGCCACTAGCACCTGCAGGCTGTTTGCTGTTCATTTACACTATGTACAGACATTCAAAAAGTCTGAGCCTGAATTGATTCAAACTTTTCAGGTTAGTCTAACCTGCATAGATTGAACCAATCTGAAAGTGCATAGACATTCACTTTTGATTCAGTAAATGCAGGCACATGCCTGCAGTGGCTCAGGCCCAAAGTCGGAGGGTGCTAGAGTGAGCCCTCCCTCCCCTTCGGCAGTGACTGAGGGAAGCTGAGCTGAGGGGGGTGCGTGGCCAGGCCCTGGTAGACCTGAGTCTGACTGGGGAGAGGTTTAAATCCCCACCCTGGCCTGCAGGGACCCCAGCCCAGGTGTGCCTGGAGGAGGAAGGGGGAAGCAGCCCTTGGCAGACTTTTCGGTGGGGTGGGGCATAGCCAGACTCCGGGCCGGCTGGCACCAAAGGGTCAAGCAGTGAGAGTGGGGGCATGGCCAGACCCCCCACCAGCCCTGTGGCAGGGGAGGAGGAGGAGAGGGAGGGCCCTGCCTGCTGCAGCAACTCCCTGACAGCCTGGCCTCAGTGTGGGGAGCCAGGAGCCCCCCCTGTCCCAGCGCTCTGCCCCTCCAGCCCTGAGCCCCGAGGCAGCACCGCACAGAACCGCCTCCCTCAGCCCCACAGCGGAGAAGGGGGAGAGCCCTCCATAACAGCCCGGCCCGGCCTGGGCACAGGGAGCCAGGAGCAATCTGGGCATGCAGCTCCCACAGCCCCAGCCCCACCTCCAGCTGGGAAGGACCCTGCCCCCATGGCCAGGGCTGACCCAGCTCTGGCATCAGCCCACCTTACCTGGGGCTTGGGCTGAGCTGGGTCGGCCTGATGGTGCTGCTGAGGGCAGGGGCAGAGGGGCCAGGCCTTTCCAAGCTGGCTGCAGCTTGGCCTGAGGCCATGGGAGCTGTGCACCCAGATTTCTCCTGGCTCCCTATGCCCAGGCCGGGTCAGGCTGCCAGGGAATCGCTGCAGGGGTCAGGGCTCTCCCTTTCCTCTTCCTCCCCCGCCGTGGGGTAGGGGGTGGGATGGGGAAGGGGGTTTGTGCAGTGCTGCCTCAGCGGCTCCCTAACAACCTGGCCTAGCCTAGGTGCAGGGAGGTGGGAGCAAACTGGGCGCACAGCTCCCGTGGCCCCAGCATGAGCTGCAGCTGGCTGGGAAGGGCCCTGCCCCTGCGGCCTGGCCCAGCCCCGCCATCCACTTGCCTTGTCCATGGCTGGGGTTGCGGGGCTGAACCAGGGCAAGTGGCAGCGGTGGCAGGGCTGGGAAAGGTGGCTGTGGGGGGGAAGTGATGGCAGTGCTAGGGGGTCTTATGGCCACCCCAAAATTTGCCTTAGCCCCATAGCCACCCCTCCCAGCTCTACCGCTGCTGCTGCCCACCCTGCTCCCGTCCACAGTGCAGTTCCCTCTCAGCCCCCCCACTGAGAAAAGGATTGTGGTCTCCAGGCACATGAGGCTGCTGCCCCTGTCAGGATCCCTGTCAGGCATGGCCAGATGCCGGTCTGGCATGGCCCTCTGAGGTGAAAGGGTCAGAGAGGGGGTCTACTCCCCTCTCCTTTCCTTCTCCCCTCAGGGGACCCCAGCCAGAGTCTGCCTGGTCAGGGCACAGTAGCCCCTGTCAGGGGGTTGAGCGGCAGAGGCTGCAGCTGGGGTTGGCAGACCCTGGGTGGGTCATCTGGTGGGGGAAGGCAGGGAACACTGGCACATGCACCCCCTGAGATTGGCCATGCACCCCCTGGAAGCACCAGCCACGAAACAGAAGTACTGGCGGAAGTGCACTTCCGGTTTTGCTGCTGGTGGTTCCGGGCGTGGCGATCAGCCACTGGAGGACCCCTGTCGGTGATCTGGTGCCCCCCCAGACTCAGGAGGCACCAGTCACCCATGAGAGAAAGGGGAAATAAACCCCCGTCCTGCCCCCTTCACCTCAGGGGGCCAGGCCTAGCTGGCATCTGGCCATGTCCCCACCCCTGCTCTGGCTGGAGGGCAGAGGGGTGGTGCCCTCTGAAGCAGACAGCCAGCCCAGCCCAGCCCAGGGCTGTAGAGCATGCTGGGATGCTGGGGGACTCTGATTTAACTTGGACCAGGAAGGGGTCTGGGACAAAAGTTTCATAAACCGGTTTGACCCAAATCAGTTAAGTCTGATACTACATTCAACTACAAGTTTATCTTAAACCATACTACAGGTTTATCTTAAACCAGTTTTGGCCATTTTTAAATTAGTTTATGTGCACTGAACTTCTGTTCTGAGTTTAAACCAGCTTCTGATCACTTAAACTGGTTTATGTGTAACTTCTA